TCTTTGCACGTTTTCTTCCTGAACTTCATCCTTGAGTAGTTTTATTTTGTGCTATGTCTTCTGTATGCCAAAGTTTATGTTTTGGCTATTAAATGATGCTCGTTTACTATTATTTTTACCTAGCTAGTGAAAAAAATTCTTATAATAGACGGTGTTGGAGCCGTGATGGCTCAGGGGTAGAGTGTTCGAATCCCAGCGATGGCTGGTTGATATGAATTTCGCATCCGGCTTGCACCGACCACAGTGATGACGTTAAATATCATCAGTGGTATTGGTCATGGGTTAGAGTTCCCTTGGCGTCAGGCTAACCGTGGGATGTGCTCGTGGCTTTCTTCTCCATGTAACGCAAATGCGGGTTAGTTGCATCAAAAAAAATTCCTCCGCGAATGTAAAATTTCTCCCAATACTTGATCCAGGAGTTCTCTTGTCTTCTGGATTGGGTTCAAAATCACAAGGCTACGGAGTTGAACATTAGTAGTAGTAAACCCAAAAGAAATTGCGTCGTCTGTACAACGACGGTTATAATATAAATATAAAATAGATGTTGAAATTTTTTTTGTATATAAAGCTATATTATATCTAACTAGCCAGCTTGATCACTATTCTAAATTATCTTGTACTGTATAAAAACTTTAATGATAACCAAGCCGAATGCATAGCACAACTGTATTTAAATATTCTAATTCTCCAATCCTGACAACTTAATTACTTTTAAACAATACCTTGATAAAATTTAGTTCACCCTCTAGCTTTGTCCGCGTGGAAGGACTTAGATTGTTACTTTGTTCAAGAGATATCCACGTTATTTTCAAAATTCTCTATACATTGAGTTTTAGTAATAATTTAAAATCTGCCTGTCTACCATAACACACGAATACCATAAGTATGAATTCGGTGTATTTCAGCACAGTAGGCAGCAGAAATATTCGTCTATCTCTATCGTCACATAAGGTACAAAACTCATCTCATTGATTCATTACTTTCTGCACTGCTTCCTCACGCACCTCTTGATCCATAATTTGAGTATCGTATAATATATATATACTAGTGGGCTGCGCCCCCTGCTTGCTAACGCTCGCCAACCCCCGAAAATTGCTACGCAATCTTATATGGTTTGCTTCGCGTACCAAGATCGCTTCGCTCGCTACTAACTTAGGTACATTGCAAATGCACAAAATTCTAAAAATTCAAAACAATCATTCAAATCCATGTAAAAAAATTACATCTTTTTAGTAAATACTAAGTCATTAAAATAAATTTGAATTCAAATAAATGACATGTAATTCGTTAAACCTATTAGAAATGTGCTATAGTATAATTCGTGATATAAATCAAAATTCGTCATATATAAATTCGCGAAAAAAAGCGCTTTCGACAAAATACTAAAATAGAGATCTATCGACAAAGACTACTCACTTCTGCCTAGCTTAATAGTATGAGATTGCCGCAGCTGATGCTCTCTGGTTATTTCAGTTTCCGTTTTTAAAAGCGCTATATGTTGAGCCACCTCAGCTAGATTTGGCATGTGACATTTTTAGCGGCAATCATTGGTCGATTCGCCGTGTAAGAGAAATAGTAACGTAAACAAAACAAAGCAAACGTTGCCACCGGCGGAAAAGAAATACAGCCAAAATTTGGGAGCCACGTAAGAGAATTATATATATTAGATATTTAGATCTATTGGTAAACAGAAGTGATTTTTCTAAGTAATCATTTTTTTAAATAACATTTATGTTGTTATAACGTTATATTGTTGAAACAAATTTGATGAGTTCACATCCTTAATTTAATATTTTCACTTACCAAACGGTAGGATATATTAAATACTTTTTTTTTTGCCTGCATCTCATTGTGCATGAAGCTGATCCTTAAGTTCTAAATCATTTAACAGATCTCTTTAACTGTAATTTATAACAGTATATTAATGTTATTTGCTCAAAAATAATAATTGTTAGACCACCTTTCTAAATAACTTTATCTTAAAATGTAAGGCAGATTTACATTATAATACTAATAAGAAAACAGCAATTCTCTTAGTTTTAAACTCTTGAATTAAAAGCGTAATAATAGCAGTACAGGAAAATAACTTTAAGTTAGGGATTCAAAAATATTTAAAGAAAAGCATGACTTTTATTAATTTTATGCTGACTACAACCAAAACAATAAGGAGACGAATGAGGAAAAACTGGATCACACCACGTGATTTTCTGGCCAATAAAAATGCACTGACAACAATGGAAAGTTGCGACACCATCATTAGAATTTTATATATAGTAAGATGTATATAATATATGTTATTGCTCGAAAAAGGCAAGCTCCATCACCCATAATTAGTGAAATGGTATGCTGCTGCATAGCATGGTTTATGTTTATAATTTCTTTAGTCATTGTACAAAGGATCAAAAATAAATCTCAGTAATAACATTGCAACCAAGTTTTTATTTCTATAAAAATACCAAAATTATTCTAAATAAATACTTAACGTATAGCTGGCTATCCAACACCGCTTTAATTATTACTTAAAACAACCTGAAAAAATGAATCAAAATAAATTCTTAACGTATAACTAATTTTTATAACACTACTTATTTTATTACTTAAGACAGCCTAACAAAATGAATAATAACTATGGTGTTGCCATTAGATAGAGAAATACCCTAATTTATGGTGCCACATAAAAGAAATATAATAGATTTTACTGTAACCACTATAATAAAAATTAACTATTTTGGAAAAAGCTCATAGAACAGATTTGGGAACAAACGGAAAGAAATAGTTACTACTTGTATTTAATTATTTTTTAAAATATGTATATTTATAGCCTACGCCCTACGCAAAATATAAAATAAAAATTTTCTACTGTCTATTTAAATGAAAGCTTTTGCAACTTGTATTTTTGTATTTATAATTATTTAAAATAAGAATTCATTTAAAAACTAATAGATTTTCGGGAAAGAAAAAAATATTTTTGTTACTAAATCCAAAAATAACGTATTAATTTTAAGTATAAAGTGTCTTTTATTTTTTATATGTAATTTTTTTTTTAAATTGCTGTGAGGAATTAAATTTTAATTTTAAGTGTTAATTTTATTCATTTTAATAGTAGAATTTATTCATTTTAATATTAGAATTTATTTTTAAAAATGCTTTGAACTTAAAAATTTATGTCTATCTCTCCTTACGTATTAGAAAAAAATATAATTTAAAGCTAAATGCAAATGTGAATACGAAGCAACCAAAATGACAATTCCAAAACCAGTATGTTTTGAACTCTAAGCTATAAAAAAGAATCTTTAAAAATCAGTGTAAAGTGTGATTAATGGCTTTGCTTTCAACAATCTTTCCCAGTTGAATACTTTATTGGAACAATATATCTTTGTTTTAGACGCGAGCTAGGAATAAAAAGTAAATTTTCAGGAACCCACAATCTTCTGTTTCAATGGAATTGCAAAATGTAAAATATTGCTTCCGCAAATTGAATGTCTTGCATTGTATTGACCGCAACTGTTGCACATTAAGAGAAAAACCGCAGGTAACAAGGCTTTTATTATTGTGGAAAATCGCTTTAAGTGTTAAATTGTTGAATGGAGCAATAAAAGAGAAAAACGATTTAAATCAGTGTCTTTTATTTATTTACTTATGTGTTTTTTTAAGTATTAGCGCTTGTTGGATAGGAATTTTACAAGGAATCGAGTGATTATATTCTAAAAATCCTTATTTTTAATCAAATACATCATATAAACTTCTTTTATTTTTCATATTAGGAGATTGTCCTCTCAATTTGAGAATTTTTGCCTAAATTTTGGGATTTTCTCATTTAGAGCAATTTTTTTTGTGTGGGATATCTAATTCGCAATTGTGTTAATCTTCATTAACATAAATAAAATATTGACAACAATTTTCTTAAAAGACAATGACGAAATATTGGCAAAAATATTTCTAAAGGCAAAAATTCATTAAAATAACGTTATTTTTATTAGTAATGCAGGAGTGGGAATTTTGTATTTTATAAAGTATTTGACTTTTTCTCGGAAGTGTTAAAGATGCATTGAAGGAAAGAATTCTCGTTTCAGAGTATAAAATATGTTTATTTTTATTTTTCAATTTTTGCCTTATTTTTCTAACAATTTGTATATTTTATTTAAAAATACTGTCTTTTTCTGCTAATTTTTAGACGAAATTCACTTTCGACACTCTTTATCTAATTATTCTAATTAACTCAATACTTTATTTAAAAATTTTAGGAACTTTATTTTCTTAATAAGCTCTTAATTTTTTATTTTTAGTCCCTAAAGTTTTATTACAATAAAGTTTAATAAAGCTTACCATTTTTTTAGAATCTACGCTGATAAAAACACTGGTTAAATAAACTAAGCAGATTAAATTGCTTAATACCTTAACTTTTTTTTTAATTGATTCTGTTTACATGTAAAAAAATGGCAAGTTTAATCTTGTTTAACTAAATAGACTCCAGATTTTTGACAGGTTTGGAAAATCTGGAAGTTGCAGTAATATTTTAAAGATTAAACCGTTTAATTTTACCACTTATCTATATTTTAATTTAAAAAAATCTAAGAACCATTCTCATAGGGAATGCTGAATTGTTTGACACAAGTAAATGAAAAAAAATAATAAGCATATTATTCTTCTGTACTCTACGAGTTGAATGAATATTTTAAATAATACTGATTTAATTAAATGGTTAGTTATCTAAACTTAATATAATATTTGTAGCTTGTCTTATAAAATTTACAATGCCCTCAATTTTTCTTTCACTTTTACTCATAAACCTCTAATATCTAGAATAGTTTGCATTTCATACCTAAAAAACGCCATTTTTTTAAAGCTGTTCTAATCCCCAGTTATTATAGGTTGACTTTAAATATTTTACCTGTTACTTCGTAATTTAATTATAAAAAATTTGCTCTATGAACTCTGAAACGTATCAGGTATTTATTTGAGAAGCGAATTAATTTCAAAATGCTTTTTCTTAATAATAGGTTCCATATTCTATAAACATTGGCGTGAGCAATCCTGAAGCCATGGCGATTCCTCAACTTAACATAAGTAGAAAAGGAAGCATTCCAACCAATCAGGAAGGTAAGAAAAGTCACCTAAAATGTCAGTTCAACTAAGTTGTTGCCAATATTATCTGTTAAGTTGTCCACTTCTGTAAGTCTAAGTTGAGCTCAAAGATAAGTAGCGAAACTGGCAAAAACAATGAAGTTGTCCCCTTATATGTTGTTCACTTGTCTATGCAGACCTTGAAGTAAATGTCCCATAAAAGGACAACTTACGCAAGTTTGATTGTATATAGTAGTTAGTATCTTAATAAATTTTTTGTAATTTTTTCATAAAGTATTAAATTATGTTTTTTTAATTTTAAAATTAAAAAACACTAAGTTTTACTCTTGTTTTTAAATATCATTCTATTGTATTGACTAACTAGTACTGGGAGAGAACTTTGCCATAACTTGAAGGTTCTTATTTTTGCCAAAAAATATTACAAAATTGTTTCTTGAAACTACCTAAATATTGTACTGTCTGAAAAAAATTTTATTTTATTTTTTTAAATATATATAAAATATGTAAGGATATCAGTCTTGTTAACTTTAAAGCTATCTTTATATTACACTATTTGAAGAATTTTTTCTTACTTTTTTTTTACTTTCACTCTGTATTTTAAAACTACCTGAATATTACACTGTTTGAAGAATTTTTTCCTACAGTTTTTTTCAACAAATATAAAAATATCAATCTTCTTAACTTCGAAACTACCTAATTATTTTACTGTTTACAGAATTTATTTCTATGATTTTTTTTTCAACATACATAAAAAAATATCAGTCTTCTTAACATCGAAGCTACCAAAATATTATGCTGTTAGATGAATTTTTGTTCGTTTTAAACTTACCTTAGTTTAAAGAAATAAAATTAATTTTCTATATTTTAGTTTAACTTGAAAAAATAAAACTTTCTTTAAAAGTTACTTTTTGTTTTGAAGCAAAATACGATCAAAAAACAGTTTAAAAATGCATTGAATTTTGACGCATGCACAAAAATTTTTCTTTATCAAAACCCTTAGATATTTGTTCTAGATCTGTTTACAGTCATGTTATATTAAAAACTTCTTCTCGTCAAGTCTGTTGTAGAAGTGAAATATTTTATGACTAAATTAAATGTCATGTGTCAAAAACAATATTATGTGTGTCTTGGAACAAAGGGTGAATCATGGGTAAAAGGCACTCTTTAACCCAACTAAATTAAGTTTTGGCGCCACTGTCAGCCAAGAGGACATGTTTTGTCATAATTCTGCCAAATAAACTATTCTTTCTACGAACACTTACAAATGCCCCAGAAAAGAGCATTTATATGCCTGAAATTTTCATAAATTTTTCCTAACCCTAATGTTCGTAAAGCGTATAACAATTTCTGATCGTTTTTTTTTACTTGTTCCACATACAATGCATTCGATAATCTCGTTTAAGAAGACTTCTATACTGGATATAACGACGTTCTGAACTTGTGGATTTATGTCCTATTATGTATCTACTTCTCGTAAAAGTAACGCGGAACCGATGTCCGCGTTTTGCTGCCATTGTCTATGCATGCTTTTTGCCATAAACATTGTTGTAGACCCAGAATTTGCTGTGGTTTGCCAGTCTATGCAACAAACAAACAAAAATTAATGGGAATATTCTTTTTCCGTATTAGCATAAAAGCACTCTAAATTCAGACTACTGCGTGTCCTTAAAAAGTAGTTTTCTGGTGGTTTTTGAATCTGTTCGATAGTTTGTTTCGAGCAAGCTGTTCTACCCCCGTATAAAAGAACTATTTGGCGATAGAAATGCTAATGTATTCTTTGTTGTGGCGAGCTTTTGTTGAATCTCATTAGGAGAATTTATTCGATAGTCATTTACTTTTGATTTATTTATTCTTTCTCTCAGGACTTCTAGAGTATAGTATTTCTAGAAAAAGTTACTTTTTTTTTTATTCTTAAATTGATATTTTTTTTATTTATTCAAGCGTAAGCGATTATGTGAATGTTTCGTGTGTGTAATTTTTGTCAGAAATCAGGGGAATCGTGAAATTTGTTCAGCCTATTTTTTGAAAAATTATAATGGAACACGCAAATAAATTTCGAGAATATTATTTTTTAGATTAGAACGAGGGAAAAAATTTAATCTGAAATAAAATTCCAATTCAAACGCAAAAGTTAGGTCTTGCCTTAAAATCTAGTAACTATGAGTAAATATTTCTCCGTGTAAAATCTGGGAATGACATTTAAATTTAAAAATTAAAAATAATGTAAATGAAAAAAAATATTGTTTTGGTAATATCTTAATCAATGCTACATTTATTATTATGACATTGTGAAGGATTGGGGTTCGATTCCCAGTGGTGGCTTAAATCTTCCTTCAGATAGATGGGTACTAACTTGTCTGGGATGTATAAGTGGCCTGTAACCACGTTGCCACAATTATACAGCAGGTCATGAAATTGTGGAGTTTTAATCTTCATCTTAATTTCTAAAGCCCCTCGGCTAACAACGGCCTGTTGCGAAAATGCCTGTTGCGTCAATGTTTGAATGGTAAATTTTATATGGTAATATCATTTCAGGTTCTTTTTTTGTCTTTCAAATACTGACTAACCACACTATTTTCTAAGTTGGTATCTTCGCACAAATTATTTCCAGATATATGTGTACTTAGCAAGGGTCCGTAATTTTCACTCGATAACTGCAAACAGAACCATTTTTACTGACTTCGTGGAAAATCATGGCGTTTTACACCAAAAAACGATGTTTAAAAAAGTTCTGAACTATTTGAATTTAAGCTTACTTCAAAATCTATTTGTTGATATAAAACTTAACTGATAACTGTTTGCTGGTGCTTGGTTTATTAAAAATGTTTTCAAAACAAAATTATTTCAATTGTTTAAATTTTCTGGAGTGAATTAATTAATTTTATAAAAAGAAATTTTTTTAGTATTGTATTATCTCTATAAAAAATATTCTTTTATAATTTAAAAATGTATCTTATACCACCTTTTGCGAAAACTTTACATAAAGTTATTTGGAGTATTAAATTCGAATTTAAGATTAAAGAAAATTTGAAATTAAGGCTCTGTTCAAAATCTATATTTTGATATAAAATGTAGCTGATAACTGTTTTCTAATGCTTGGTTTGTTAAAAATGTTTTTAAAAAAATTATTTCAATTGTTTGAAGCTTTCAAATATAATTAATTAATTTTATTAAGAGAATTTTGGAATTCTCTTCATGATAATTATTTTTTATAATTTTACAGCACCTTTCCCGAAAATTTTACAAACAGTTATTTGAAATATTAAATTCGAAGAATTAATGTACAGAGCTGCTTACCCAAGGCTAGCCCCTTAACTATAACATAGAACGATAGCGTTGGCTAAAAAATAAAATAAAAGTTCTCGAACGTGTCCTGTTTTCAGATGATCTAATCCGTTAAGAAAATTTCAGTTGAATCGGTATTCGATTTAGTAAGAGTTTTTCTTTCCCCACCTGAGCCCTGGCGCTTATTTTCTGCTTGAACAATAAAATATAGCTCTTTTTAAATTCACAGCGAAACTTTTGAAGTTTTCCGATACGGAAAAAGTTAAATTATTTGAATATTTTTATCTCTTTCTTCAGGCTAGAAACTTAACAGTATTTGTCCTAGCCTATTGACTTTCTACAATTTCGTGCCTGAAATTCATATTCATATTTTTTATGTTTCAGTATTCCGAGTAGTACTGCTGTGTACTGGAAAAGTGGACGCTGAAGTTGAAATATTTATGAATATGAACTTTTCAATGCTGCCGCCATTTCCGGAAACAACTCAACTTGTGTTGAAAAGGAAGAAAATATGTCATATAAGTAAGAGTGTGTTTTGAGTAGATTTTAGAGATGGCTAGTATTTACTCTAGCAGTTATTTTGTGTTTTATGAAAATAACATGTTAATTTCAAAGGAAAGGTTACGAAATGTAGACGAATTGTCTAGTACAATGGCTGATGATTTCGATAATCTAATATTCTTTTTAGTAACTATTAGACTGTCTTTTATAATTGAAATATACCAAATTTATTTTTGCTTGTAATTAGAGCGGCAGAAATAAATACATAAAAGAGACACTGGTGTCCCATCTTCTCAAAGAATAAAAAAAAGGGGGAACTTAATTCTTTTCCAAGAAATATTACTGTACAAAATACTTCGAATATACCTACAAAACTTTTATTTTCCCCTACTGTCTTTTGACATCAACATATGGTTATATCAACATATGGCTTCGCGCTGTTGTGCCACAGGTCCCTGGTTCGATCCTCGGGCCGGGCAAGGTTGACTCAGCCTTTCATCCCTTCAGTGGGTCGATAAATGAGTACCAAGCATGCTTGGGAACTGAACACTGGTGGTTCCACGTTCGGCTGACCACCTGACCGGAACATCTGCTCCTGCACCCCAGAGCCCAATGTCAAGAAAACTGAGATGGGCACAGTAGGACTTGGCCCTCTATGAGCTGTCGCGCCGCTGAGTTTAGTTTAGTTTTTATGGTTATTTTAAATATCTGTGTGGTTCTACTTGTATTTGTATTAGTTTAAAATGTTATTTCTTGAGATTATATATTAATTAAAAAAAAATTTAAGATTAATTTAAAGATCTTGAGTTTAATTAATGTTTTTTGAGATTAGATATTAATTAAAATCAAATCTAAACTGAGAATTCATTTTAAAAAGAAATAACTTCATCTAAAAATTATTAACACTGTTAAAAACTAAAATGCGTAGTATCTTAAGTTAAAAAATACTAGCTTAACTGATAAAAAAGAAGTCAGAAAACTTCTATGGTAGGGTAGTGGCTGTTCTCTGTATCTATCTGCTTCTTGTCCTCGTACCGATTCAAAATATTAATTTTGAAGATTAGATATAAATTTCAACTTGTATCTAATCTCAAAAATTAAAAAAAAATAATAATAATTATCCACGCTGTAAAAATTAAAACTTGCATGGTATCTAAAATTAAGAAACTAAAGGTTCTAACTTAATAGATAATAAAGAAGTTAGAGAACTTCTATGGCAGTGTGTAGTGGGTTATTCTCCTAAGGTCAACTCTGACAAAGTTACGATGCGCCTCGCATTATTTACTGCCATCCCTTTGCGACCCTAAAAGATATAAATGTCCCTGTTGGCCCTGACTTTGAAAGTAGCAAAAATCCACGCCGAAAGTGAAAAATAAAACACTTCGAGGAAAACTGCCATAAATCTTACCTTCTTTTAATCTTTCTATCTGTTTAGAAAGGGGAAAATTGGTTTCAAACTTAGATTATTTTATTCTCATTAATAACCTGCTGTTATAAAGAATAGTCCTTATATTCTTCGAAAACTATCGTTTGCAATAACTTTATTTCGTTAACTGTAAAAACAAAAAATAAGATGACATATTGAATACCATCTATGTTGTCCCTCTGAGTTAGTAAGTAACAAAATTTTGCTCGTCAATTATTGAAAAAGGTATCCAATGCTTGAACATAATTTATAAAATAAATTTATTTGTTTTGTTTTGTATATTGTTTGAAATTGAAAATATTGTTTGAAAATCGCCTCTGTAGAGAAGTAATATACTTATTACACTTGCCTTGAAATTCCCATTTATTATTAATTTTCGTTCGTTCGTTTAATTCATTCCCATCTATATTTCGTGAACTATTAAAATAAAGTTAAGATTACTTATTACATACTATCTGTGTTCTCCCTCTAATTTTGAAAATAATAAAATATTGTTTGAAAAAATGTACTTTTGTTCAAAGCATTCTCATTGACATAGACGTTTTAGGAATGTTTTAAAAAATAAATCTACAGGAAATAATTCTTAAATCTTCATAATTCTTATGCACAAATTCCCTTAATCGTAATAAAATTGATGCACTAACTGCGCTCTAGCCTCCAAATCGGATTTTGTTTTTCTTGTCAAAGAAAGAAATTTCGACTTATTATTATGCTTCGAACTCTCGGTGTTTCAATGATTTTTCACACATAACTTTTTTTCATTTTCACTTTAAAATAAAAATAATTAATAGTTTAAAAATCTTCTATTTGAAAAATTTCAGTCACGTGTGACTAGTTTCTAAGCATTATATTATTTAAGCAAAACTGAATTTTCTTTAAAATTGCATTTTGTACTAAGTTGTGCCTTATAAAATAATAAGAAGCTTTATCTCGTTTTTCATCTTTTCTTTGAAAATGCAGTAGTTTAAAACATAGAGCGTTAAAAGCATTTTTTCCTATACAATGGTTCTATGTTACAAAGCTTCCATGTTTATATCCTTGTGCCGTACGTCTACTTCTCAAATTTCTAGCGAAAAATGATTACAACGATAGTCTGTAAGTAAAAATGATGTAGACATTACAATATCTAGATGAGATAAAACAGTCTGTATATACCTTAACCGATTCATCTCAATAAAATTGAGTGAGAATGAAAAATGTACATCCAAACGATCTTCAAATTGAAGCTCCGAGACAACTAAACTTCTTCTCTTAAACTATTGAAAATCGTTTTATCTCTTCCAAACGATTTTTCTCCTGCAATTTAATTTACCCGCATGCATACACATTGTGTGACATCAATATTTACGGTTTGGATTGTTTTTATTCCCCTTTCATTTTCTATTATCCTCACTATTTTAAAACGATACATTTTTGCACGTTATTCTATTCCTCTGTAGGAGAAATATCGATTGTTTACAAAATCGATTGCAAGCTTACATCTCTTGGTTAAATGTGTGTAAAAATGATTTTCAACAGGAATGAAAAGCGTTATGATTTATGACATCAAATAAAAATCAACAGGAATTCGACGTAATCCGTTTAACTTCAGTATTTTACCATGAAACTTTCTTAACAGTTTTCAGAGCATTAAAGAATTTTGCCAATAATATGAAATATGCACTTTTAAGTATACTATTTTTGAACGAAGGCTTTTAAGTATACTATTTTTGAAAATCTTACGAAGTTTTCTATCTAACTTATTTATTTAAAGGCTTACATATATTTTGCTTTTAGACTAAGGAAGTATAGAAAATTCTAATTTTTTTTTCTTTTTTCAGGGAATGATACATCCGGTGATACTCTTATGATTGGTAAGGCTTCGTGTGTTTATTATGTATTCTTCACGTGTTTAATTGGTAATAAATGGGTTCTGTGACACAGAGCTGGCTGGCTTAGCTGTTAAAAAAGTCGCAGTACGTAAAGAGTTGAAAAAGTTATAACATTTTAAATGCCAGAAGAAAGTGTAAATTTTGTCTTTTTATGTAAACAGGCAATTTAACGATAAATATGGAATGTTTTAACAACAACAACAAAAAATCGTAACGGAAAATACTATTAACTAGTGCTGTAAAAACTGCACTTTTTATTTTAACTTTTTCCTTGAAATGAAATTTCTTATTAAATTTGAGATTCGGATTTGTGCAACTGAGTACCTGCAAACGATGTCCCAATTGCAGGTTTCCATTTAAATTTAATTCTAAAATTATTCAACGTGTTAATAAACCAAGCCTAATAGATCTTACGTTAACACGCCATCTTGTTTATACAAAACCAACTGATTTTAGCAGCCTTCATCTCGAGTTGCAAATACCCAGCTTTAGCAGACTGGTGGAACCAATTTCAGTTGGAATGCCACATGTGTTTCTAAAAATGGGGAATCATCGAATATTATTTGTAAGCATTATTTGTAAGAATTTTAATTAGTTTTTTGTCACAGAATTTTTTCTAAAGATTGAATAAAGAACTTACGATGAATAATAATGTCATTGAAAAAAAAAGAACTAACGATGAATAATAATGTCGTGAGAAAACTTAAAAATTAATTGTTCGAAAAGTCGGCTTTCGAGCTGTAGTTTCCACAAGAAAGTTGAAACAAATGAGAGCGCGCTCCACTAACCCTGTGTAACAGGACTCATTCGTTATATTGATTTGTGTGGAGCTTTTAATTTTACTAAAGTAAAGTGTACGACCTAATTTGAAAGAAAAAATTATTCTAAAGACACAATTTTTTTAATTGCACTTGTATTTTTAAATTTATTTATTTAAATTTGAAAGATTATTAACATAATTTTTGCTTCACTCATAGTATAAATACTATGATTTTACTTTTATAAGACAGTTTATGTTCCTATAATAAATACTCTTAGAGGATTTACCTTTTTTTTTGGTTAAGAATACAAGTCCCACAGATTTCAATGAATCTATTTTATTTATTTTTTTATTTTCTTCCCAGATTTAGCTTATAATATTGTCCCATTTCCTTACCTTGTGTACGTAATGTTATTGCATTTGGTACATTATATTCAGAGCTATGGAGTAGAGTGTTTAAATTTTCAACTTCGCCTACAGCCTTTTCTTACAGCCTGATTCCAAATTCAAATTTATGCTGCAAAGTTATTTTATTTAAAATTACTTTCATATTATAACAGTTGAAGACATAAACTTTAAAAAATATGGAAATTGTACTGAACTATTAAAACATAAAAGATATCACAAGCACGTAAATTCCGCCTACAAAAAGATTCTTTAGAGAATGTTCTGAAACTATTGCAAATGGTGCATGAATTTCATTTGCATGCCTTTTTAATTAACTTTTCAAATGAGCTAAATAAATTTGCTTCTGAAATGCATCAAGTTTTTTAATGGTGCAGTCAAAACACAGAATCAAAAACGTTCAAATGTGATAAGTTATAATTTAACCTTTTGGATAAAGCTCTTAGTATGGTGGAACCTGCCATTCTGGTCAGCTTGTAGTACCAGCGAAAGGTTAAATAATTGTTACAATATTCATTTGAGTGTTATTTTTTATTCTGAATACGAATTGCAAATATTTGAATAATTTTCCTAAAATCAAAAACTTTGTTTCTTCTTTTAATCTATAAAACTAGCTTTTAATCAACCGGAGTCGAGCAAATTTTTCCGACTCCTGCAAAATTTGTTTCGACTCCAAATACTTGACTCCGACTTTTTCCTTCATTTTAATGTCAAACTCTACATTTAATCCAATCGTCCAATAACTACTTAATGTGTTCAACAACATTTTTCTTAATCTAACTTTTCTTTAATTGATTTAGCTTTAATTGACTTTTCTTTTAATTGGATTTAGCAGATGCTATGATAGCTACAGCTGGTTCTCTGTACATAGCCGTTGGATGTGCTGTGGGATTTCTACTAGTTATGAGTTCCGTAGTTGGTTTATTTTACATAAGAAGGCATAAAGTTAGAAGATCTGATGTCATACAGTAAGTAATGTCCATTAACTTATGTTATGTCATTAAAATGTCCACCGTCGCGTCGTTTAAAATTTATACGTCTACAACAAAGGAAAGTAAAAAGTACGATTTGTCTTCCTTTCTTATCAGCAAGCTCACAATGGGCAATATTTACAATACTCGTTTAAATTGTTTGCGTCTTAGCTTTCGCACTTCTGCCATTTTAATTAAACTAAAAGAGATACTTTCAATGTTACCCTTTGAAACCTTCTTCCTCTCAAAATAAATAAATAAATTAATTAAAAGACAGTAATTTAATGTCCTTCTGCAGAATTTGCAGGCTTGACAAACTAAATGTTGTGTTGTTAAATAAGACTAAAACAATTTTTTTTTCTCTGAAATATCTTATTTTATATAAAATATCGTTTATAACCTTCAGCCAGTAAACTCTTCAGTTCTTATGATATATGCAAGAAAGAAAACCTTTAGTTCAGGAAGGTATTCAAGATTTGGTACTTAAAAGTTTAGGTAAATTGCGGAAAACACGACTTCTAAGGACACCAGTAATCCCCCCCCCCTCTTTTCTTTTGCGTGAGAGTTAATAACCAAAGTTTATTAGCTTACTTAATTTACATGATACCATTTTTGTTTGGCGCAGTAATGTCGATTCCGGCTTTTAATTCATTCAACTCAACTCAGCGCTGTAAAATATCATACGGAACAAGTAAAGAAAGCACTGGTATATTTAAAATTAGGTTAAAATCAAGAATTTATTTTCTGTTAACTATGTTGTAGTTGGCCAGTGTGAAACTTAATTAGTGTTTAAACTATGCTTCAAATTTTAAAAGCCTTTCTTTTTTCCTCGGAATTGGCCGGCAACTGTGATGCATTATTTTAATGACTGCAAGCCCTAAAGGTGTACTACTTAAGCACCTAGTCTCATTCCAGAATAGTCCCGCAGTGGACTGATCGTTAAGACACGGTTCCCAGCAGATCACCGAAGTCAAGCATCACTGTCTGCGGTCAGTGTGCGGGTGGGTGACCACTTGGATCAGTCTGCGTAGGGACCGAGGGTGTGCGGTATTGGTTAAACTGTTCTGCCGTAAAGTGCTCGACTTCGCGTGCAGGTCATTGGGCTACCGAAGCGGGGATGCCATCCCCTCTGCAGAGGATCAAAATTGTGATGGCATGTCTTCGGATCATCCTCAGGGATGTTTCCCAGACCGTCACCAATAGCCCATTGTGCAGCTCTAGTGCGACGTAAATTAACAACCGACCAACCAACTCATTCCAGAATAAATTTAAGTCGTGTCCTCTCCCTGTTAAAAATAGTGTACATTTTGTATGGCAATATTACGTGTTTTTTTTTCCATTGTATTACTTTTAAAATAAAAATTTAAAAAAAAAAAAAACATTAGAGCAGTTCATTCTATTTTGTTTTTCTAAATTTTAAAAATTCATGCATATAAAACAATTCGTTGTGCCGGTGTGATTAATAGCAGGCCAGATCAGCCTGGCCAAAGGCCATTAGTGCCGGCCTAAATCAGTTCACAAATCATACTGTCACAGCTAGGAAACGAACCGCCTGACGAGCTCTCACTTTGTTTATAAACCCCTGGTAATTGACTACGAATGTAGTATTTTAGTTTCTATGTTATATAAAGGATTTTTTAAAACAGCGAGAGAAAAAATAAGGAAAAAAATATTGGTAGAAAAAAAAATCTATCTATATTATATAAAACGCTAATACGTATGTATCAATAAAATTGATGATATTTCTTTACTCGCGTTGGCAACAGTTTTCATTTTTAATTGATAGGCTTCGGCGCGCAAGAGCATGTAGTGAGCGTATAAGAATATNCGAAGCCGATGCTTTACATCCGGCGTTCAGTACTATTTCATATTATTTTACAACACATGGTTTTAGCCCTCTGGTGGGAAAGACTTTAAAACAAAACTTACAACAGTTACTTTTCTCAACAACTCAAATTTAGAATAGTGTGATTAAGAAAAATATGTGAACTGTTTGCAATTAATATTGAAATGCACAGGTTTAGAATTTTCTACAGTGAAAAGTTTTCGGAACTTCAGTGTTCAAAAAAGTATACAAAAGCTATACGTTAAGAACGTATCCAATGAGCGAGGAAAGCGAGCATCGGATTGCGAAGCAATCCGAAATAAACTACGAAAGCAGTTCCGGGGGTTGGCGAGCGCCAGCGAGCGGGGGGGCGAAGCCTCCTAGTACTTAGTAAATCACTCTCCGTTTCTAAAATTTATGTGTTTGGTTTAGTTAAAATTCACTTATTCACTTCATTTAATTAATTTATATTTTCGCTATAGGTTTTCTGTTATAATAATAGAGGGGAAAAACGCAGTTAAAATGCCAATAAATTACTTTCTTTTTTTCGTTAATACTGTATTCAGTTTATTTGGAATTCTCTTGTTTGCATTAAACGAAAAACCGCAAACCTGTTTTTTAGTCCTACCTGGAAAACTAAGCAGTTAAAAAGCAATAAAACGACAATCGTTTAATTAAAACAGAAGTTTCCCTATGCAGAAAAAAAATCGCCTCTAGAATATAAATGGCATAAAAATATAAGTTTCTCTTCTCGTGAACTCAACAGGTAGGAAAATTTAAGTCCTTGACTTCAATTTAATACTCTCTTTTCCTAAGCATTAGATCACAACGGGAGATATGAAATGAGTTTTTCTATATTGGCGACTTAACTTCTCTTTGGCGTCATTTTTTATGTCTTAATTTTTTTTTCAGTTTTGGCGATCTTTAATATTTTTAGGCCAAACTACGTCATTTTTAAATTTGATTAAATTTGTCGCTATATTTTTTTAATAATATTTTTTGACCAAATTGGGTATTAAGCTTAAAATGTGACTTAACTATTTGACAACGCAGAATAAGATTTACGTAATATATCATTTTCCGTAATTTTAATTAAGTTTCAATTTGTACACAGCCTATATTAAATAGTATTAATCAATGATATAAAAGTTATATAATGGAATGCAAAACTGCATATGGCGATTTTATAGGATGCATAAATGAAAATCAATTTTACTCTATAATCGAACGGGGATTTAATGCAATACATAAATTAAAATGTGTCTTACGGGGATTTTATATATTTCATAAATAAAAGTAAGTATTGTTCTCTAATTGTAAGATTTTTATAGGAAGCAGAAATGAAATTTAATATTTTATGATCTTACGGTCATACCAAAGCATGGATGAATGAAAGTATCAATTAAATGATTGTAGAATAATTAATTTAGCATTTTAATTGAATAATTCTTATAGAATAACTAATAAGCTATCTGGAATGCTGTTCATATTCAGAATTAGATTATTTTCATTCCGTTTTATATTAAAGTATTAGAAAATTAACGAAATTGCGCAAATTCAAATCAAAATAGTTAACAAAGCAATAATTAAGCAGCTAAAACTGAAAATCCTAAATATAGCAATAAATATTAAATTATATGCAGAAATAAATGATAATTAAATTAACTACTAATGTACTAAGAAATAATGAAACGTGCAATTAAATGATATACGTTACAAATATGTTAGTGTGAAAATAATACTGTCTTAAGCATGTGTTATCACTAATATTAAGAAATGAAATTTTTGGTTAATAAACACCTGAAATAGAATCGATTTTTAATTAATTAATCTTCAAACAAAAAAATAGTGCATGGACTCCCTCCGCGAGGAAGAAGTTAAACCTGCGACGTTAATTGTAGAAGAATCAGCAGCCGTAGAAGAATCACTAGTTCTATTCAACGACTCTTTTTTTCTGCTCCGCTCGCTTCCGTGCTCTGTATTCACGGTAATTATTGTGCATTTTTCCCTCGTGGACCTCTTGGTTGCCTCATCGTCTCGCCCTCGAAAATGTATTTGTATTAATAATGTATGTAAATGCGTCATAGTATCATTTCAGAAGAGAAACAATCAATTGATATTCACAAGAGACGTACCTTGACATAACCTTAAATCCGTCGCATTGTCCGTGGGATTGTTTTCACTCATTTTTTACAATTGTTCATCCACTAAATTTGAAAATAAAAAATACTACCATATTAAATTATATGTGTATCAAAACAAACTAAAAAAATATTTATAGAAAAACAATACTTCTATTATTTTTATGCTAGTGTGAACCAAAACAATATGGAAATGAATGAGGGAAAACTGGATCCTACCACGTGATTTTCCGGTCAATTAAAATGTAGCGTTAAACGTTTAACGCAACCTTGTTGGAAGTCGCTTAAGAAGTATAACTTCAATAATAACGAAATTGCGCAAATTCAAATCAAAATATTTAACAAAGCAATGATTAAGCAGCTAAAACTGAAAATCCTAAATATAGCAATAAATATTAAATTATATGCAGAAATAAATGATAATTAAATGTACTAAGATATAATGAAACGTGCAATTAAATGACATACGTTACAAGCATGATAGTTTATGAAGTGTGAAAATAATACTGTCTTAAACATGTATCATCACTAATATTAAGAAATGAATTTTTTTGGTTAATAAATAACTGAAGTAGCATCGATTTTTTATTAATTAATCTTCAAACAAAAAAAAAAAATTACTTTTATTAGTAGAGGCAATTCCTGTAATTTCTCGATTAAATTGGTTTGGCGAGAAATGAGAATCTGTGCCAAAGGCGGTACTTGCTCAAAAAATTTTGGATGGGGAGGATTCTTGTTAAGTCTTCCGATCGTAAGCACTGACAAGAAACATTTGAATCCTTTTCTTTCCGTTTTCCTTCTTTTGCTTTTTTCCAGGGATGCTCTTCATATTGCATAAATGTTTACTTCCTTCATTTATCATTATGTGTGGAATTGAGTAAAATTAGTTCGTATATGTTCGTTATCTTATGAAATAAGTTCCAAAATTAATTTGAATTTTGCGTGATTCGTACAACGAAATTTTGCTAACGGTGGAACAGCTAAGAGCTCAGTGATATTAAAAATGGAGCTTTATACGAAAGAACAACGCT